TGTGTCTCTACAGTCCAGGCATCAAATCTCCCCAGAGGTAACCCAGTCCAGACTCTGCTTTCCCTGGGTAAACTTCCTCTGATGTGCCGCAAACATATATTACACGGATGGTTAAATTGGATCATTATCACCGGGTGCTTATTTGGCCAAAATCATTAATGTCATCTACCCCCACCCCAATCCCTTTCTCATGAGGTCCCCTCCCCCAAAGACTCTACAACATGCTAATCCCATGAACTGCGACACACCACAGCTTTCGGGAAAGAATAATGGCGAAAAGAAAGAGGAGAGCGGTGTGGGGAGAAGATGTGGATAATGGTACTGCATTCCCCGTATGAAGATGGGCGGACAGGAGCCATGGTGGAGGCAGGGGTGGGGAGAGCCATAAAGGGGAATGAAACCAAATGAAATCAAGCCCTTGGTCGCCCGTGTCCGTGTGAGAGAGTGTGTGTGTGTGTGCAAGAGCGTGTGCAAGTGTGTGTGTAGATGTGCCGACTTAGCCCTCCTATCAGAAGGCTGCATCCGTGTGGCATGTAGGAAAGGCCATCACACCACCGTTGTGTTGCAAAAAGAGAGAGAGAGAGAGAGAGAGAAAGAAAACAGAAAAAAGAGCCGTAGAGCCATCGGAATCAGAATTTTCTCTTCAGGATGGAAAGGGCTAGAGGAAAGGGGGCGGGGGGAGGGGGAGAGAAGAAGAGTGTGTGGAAATAGAAGGCAAGAGCATGGCAGGATTGGGGGAGGACAGAGGGGGAAATCGGTGGTGGGGTGGAAAAAATTGCACGCACACAGAGACATAAACACACACAATATCCGAACGCCAACCCCACTGCTCCGCTGTTCATCCAAGACTGACAACCCCGTCCCCCATCTCTCCGCTGCCTCTCTACTGAGATTGTGCCCCTAAAGCTGGTGCCGATGGATTTCTGTATCTCAGTTTTGCAGCAGTGGGCTAATTACAACCAAGCCCCCTCACCAAATTAACCCCTCCCCTCCCTCTCTTTTTTTCTCTAAAAGGCCAATTGAAGAATAATGTGTTTTTAGAGATAATGGATTTTTTTTTTCCCAAGGAGCGAGAGAAAGGGGGATGCAAGGCAAAAATTCTGCAAACCAGTGACTTCCAACCTCACCTCCGTCTCCCCTCCTGTCCCCATTCGCCGTAGCATCTCATCTACAATTTCCAACCATCCCCTTGTCCCCCACCACCCAAAAGAAAAGACCTTCCTACCACGCATATCGACAAACACACCAACCGCCACCCAATCTCAGTAGTCGATCTCAAAACCCCAAGCATCAACCCACCTCGATACATCCTTTCCCTTATATAAGCAGCAAATCATCAACATATTCAGTAAAACACAGCGTTAAAAAGAAATCAACAGAAAAGGGGGCCAGACCCCCGTCGAACCCCAATAATTAATAATAGGGAGCTACCGGAGCAGCAAAGACGTAGTTGTCTCTCAAAATTTAGAATCCCTTTGATTTCTGGTCCCTTCGTCTTAAGAAGCAATTTTTTAAAAAAAAATATTATTCACTATAAAGGGCCAGAAAGCTCCAGAAAAGGGTATTCGCACAGTCCGGTTGTTTAAAAAAAAAAAAAAAATTAACCCAGCCCTGTTGCTCACTTTAATAGCGAACTTCCAGCATCCAGCCTTTTTCCCCTCTTCCAGAAGGAAGACTGGCTCACAGGATGAACCCCGGGCTGCAGAAAATGGGCCAAGAGCCCTTACTCTCCACTCCCCAACACAACAACAAAAAATGCTAACAATAGGAATGTGTCTGCACAACCAGCACCCATCTGAAATGTCGTTTGCCCCAATGTGACTTAGGCAGATTAAGCCAGAAGATTAAAAAAAAGAAAATACCAGCCTCGCTATGTCTCTCTTCCCTCCATCCTTCCGCCACGTACCCAGTAGCCCTTAGGTAAACTTGCCCATCATAACCAGCGGGACCATTTTAACTTGAAAGGCGATGCAGAAGCCCTTGAACGATGAAGGGAAGCTCTACCCAGAACAGCAAATTCATAAAGGGCTAGTTCTTCGGGCTCCCCAGACCTAACCTCCAGGTGCCCCCTGATAGACTATCCTGGGTATGGAGTCACCCAGGCGCGCTGGGAGTTCAAATTTCCATTGGAACCTTCATCACAAAGGCAAACGGTCATCTGACCCCCGAAAGTACACCGTCTTCTAGGTGTGACGAGGAGTGTCCCTCTCCCTCCCAGGGCCATGCATAAGACCCAGGGCAGGGAAATAAAATAAGAATGTTGGGGTAGATAGTGGTGGTAAAATAAAACTATCTCCCCAAGCGGGGATGGCCGGAGGAAGCGGGAGATGACAGCTCCTGCACTCACAGTTCTCCTATTTGGTCAGACTGTGTCTTGCTCCATCCTAGGCTAGCTCTGGATGATCTTTGACCTTTGCATTAAAATAATTTTTTAAAAAATTATCAGGGGAGAGAAATTCTACTTTACCGAAACCCAGATAATAGTAAAAATATAATTTTCTCACTGCATGACAATATTTCTACATTCAAATCAAAAGAGGAAGGCATTTCATGGAGGAAAGGAGAAATTTATTTTTTTTAACAAGTAATCACAGGATAAGTCACCTGCAAAGCAGCCCAGCCCATAGGCTGGTATTACATCACTGGCTTAGGAAGAGATGGGGGGGAATAAATTTTTTCCCTTGTTATCAGGAAGATGTTTCTAAAAGTTAAGTTTTTTGTGGGTTAAAAAAAAAAAAAAAAAAGAGAAAGAGCTGAAACTCCGGGTACAACACAATGCCTTGAAAAAAAAAAAAAAGACATCGAACCAGCCTCTAAGGTCACTGAGAGCTTGCAAAACCCACAGTGCTTACACAGAGTGGAAGTTTTCAGGCAAGCCTGCTACTAAATCATTAATATAAACAAATGGAAGGCAGAGGAGGAAGATTCCCTTGTAACCGATCCAAACAGGAGCGCACACGCGCACGCACACACACACTCACACACTCCCTTTTCACCTCCTCCGAGTATGCCCACCTTCACAAGAGAGTGGGAGTCCAACCTGAACCTTCAGGCTCAAGAACCACCTCCTCACACTCCCTCCTCCCCCCGCAAAAAAATCACACACTCAAACACACTCACACACTTAATTCCTCAACAGCCAGGGAAATCCCTGTCTCAATTCAATTTTGTCTTCTTATAAGCCTGTGTCCCTTCTTCTCTTTCTCATTTGAATCAGCCCTTTCCCCAGGGGGGAGAAAAAAAAAAAAGAGGAGAAAAGTAGCTTAAAAATCCAAAAAAAAAAAAAAGTACGTGCCCAAAGTGAAGTGGTGGGCACACATCCTTTCAGACTAACAATCCAAGGAAATAGGAGAAATACTCTGAAAAGGGTAAAAAAAAAATCTAAAACATTCTCTGACTTTTTGAACATCTGGAGCAAAAGGACCCAACTTCCAGGAGAAACCAAAGGAAAAGAAAGGCAGTTGAAAGCCATTCCCATGGTCAGCCAAGGCTCCCGACCCAACATTCGGGGAAAAAAAATCTAGGTTGGTAGCTCCCAACTGAAAAGTTCTATCCTCTCAGGAGCAGTCGCCTTCCAGAACGAACAAGAACCTTGAGTTGTTTCACATCCTGCCTGCCTTCCTCTCCCCGCAAATCTTACCTTTCCAGTTGAACAGATGATTTGGGAGCTGTTTGTTTGTTTGATGTTTAATCAACTGAGTTTGCTGGGTATGTTTCCTCTTTGGGAAGATTCAAATTCCAGAATCTTTCTCCTTTTCTTTTTTTTCTTTCTCTCTTTCTCTGGGAGGGAGTGGCAGGGAAGAAGGGAGGGGGGTTTGGAGGTGCGAAAAGCAGGTCCTTGGTGGCTCGAGATGCTGGCGGCTGCGAGAGGGTAGGACACGCTCGCCTCTCCCTCTCAGTGAGTTGCATGCAAGAGGAGATGTGTAGGGCTGAGCTCGGAGCCTGAGACTGCCGGAGGAGCCCAGGAATTTCACGCACTCCAGAGCCGGCCCCTCCCTCTCTTACACAGACCCCGGCATTTAAAGAGACAGCCAGGCTGCCTGGCTCAGGGCTTCACCTCCTCCCTGACTGTTTTGCAAACAGCTGACAAGATATCATCAGGGAGGGGCACTCCACAGCTGCCTAAGACTAAGAGGCAGTGTCAGGAGCTCAGTTTTCCCCTCACCTCAGCCTGAGGAAGGTTCTTGGCTAGAACTAGAGCAGGAATTAAAATAAAAGACAAAATTCTCATTTACAGCTCTAGTAGACTAAGCCACTTCTCACTGCTGAAGATACATGTGTCTCACTGCAGACTGAGGAAGTGGAGAGAACTCTGACTTAGAAGTGCACCTCAGTTTCCCTGAGTAGTCGTTCCTCCTTGCAAAATCAGGGCAATCCTTGCACGTCTGGTGGAGGTGAGGTCTATAACTAGGACACAAATCCATTTCTTCAACAAGGACTTTGAAAGCCTCTTAGGATGAGGCGCAGTGCATAGGATGAGGGCTGGGAACATAGAAATGAAGGTGACAAATGGGCATTCCCCCCAAGGGCTCCTAGTCACCAAAACAGATGGCAGCTGGGAACATAGAAATGAAGGTGACAAATGGGCATCCTAGTCACCAAAACAGATGGAGGTATAGCCAACCCCATCTATGGGGGCTGTAAACTATGAGAAACAGACGCAGGGATCAAGTGCTGTGTTGGATCAGGGGGACAACTCCCTTCTGCGTCCCTTCTATGTCCTGCATCCTGAGCTCAGGACCGAAGCATTTCCACTGCACTCCAAACCCTTCAAAACCCATTGCCAGTTTGGCTGAACTAGTGGAAACAGTCCCCCAGTCAAACCTAAACAAGAGGTGACAGCCAGTGGCACCACACACAAGGTTTTGTTCAGCATCAAGTGCCTCCCTATGGGAAAACCTCCCCACCCCCTTTCTTCTCCTGTCTCCGAAACAGTCCCCCAGTCAAACCTAAACAAGAGGTGATAGCCAGTGGCACCACACACAAGGTTTGTTCAGCATCAAGTGCCTCCCTGTGGGAAAACCTCCCCACCCCCTTTCTTCTCCTGCCTCTCCTTTCTAAGGGCTGCTTGGTGGGTCCTTCCTCTGGCCAGCACCAAGGGCAAGAATAGCCCCTAACAGCTGTTGGGGACTTGCCATATGCCAGCACATGGGTCATCTCATTCAGTCCAGTGAAGTCAGTGTTATTTGACAGTCGTCCACCTTACAGTTGAGGAAATCCAAGCTTGAGAGAGGCTCCTCATGGTCACAAAGCTGGAAGTAACCCGAATTTGAACTCGGGTCTACCTGATTCCAGAGCCTGCCTGCTCAGCCACAGTGCTATTGCCTCCCTTCCTTGGAGGGTGTTTCTTCTATTTCTTCCCTTTACTGGATATTCCTCCAGCCATCCCAGCATTGCCCAGCCTAACAAATTTGATAGCATGTGTACTAAACACTGTGCTCACAGGCAACAAAACAAGTAAATCGAGGTTCCTGCCTCAAGGAGCCCACTATGCTCTGAAGGAAGACAGGGGTGTGTTACTAGAAAGCAAGGAGGAAAATAACAGCCATGAGAGCGACATAAAGGAAGTTCTATGGGATTATCAAGAAGCAAGTGAAAATTTTTGATTTAGAGATGGCAGACATCAAGGCAAGCTTGGTAGATGAAGTGGCATTTGGGTGGGGCATGGACATGTGCACTTCCAGCATTACTAGCCTACTTTTTAGTCTGTTTTACCTTTCGGATCATAATCTCATCTTTTTATGTTTCTTTAGGTCCCCAATCTTCAACATCTCCATGGTACTGAGCAAGTATTAGGAAACAAGCAAACATGCCTGACAAGTTCATGAATGACACCTGTGTTAGACCTGAACTGCCCTGCCACCTGGTCATATACATCCTCCTCATTTGTTTTTTTTTTTTTTTTTGAAGCCCATGCACCTTATCTGTTCTCAGAGTTTGGAAAAGAAGTGCAGAGGGCATACTGCATGAGGCTGGGCAAGCTTTCTGGAGATCCTAGGGGGAGAACCATGTGAAGGAACCACCATGACTCAGTAGGACATTGAGAACAACCGGGGCAGCTATAGAATCTCCTTTGAGAACAGCAGAGAGAGACCTAAGGGACCCAGAGGACATGAGGGCATAAGCCCTAAGGGAGAGCCTGAGGACTCGCTGCCCTACAGATGTCAGTTCCCATGGGACTCCTCCGGCAAACGCCAGTCTTAAAGGGACATCGCCCCAGGAAGTACATTGCACATCGGCTGGATTCCAACCCCAACTTGGCTACCTAAATTCCATGGGATCTGAATAGTTTCCTTTCCCGCCTCCAACTCTCAGTTGTCTTCACCCATGAAATGGAGACAATACCTGTACTTACTTCATAGGACTGTTGCAAGAATTAAGTGATAAAATACACACAGAACACCTGCCCCACAGAAATGCTTAACAAATGTCCACTGCCTCTGCCCCAAGGTCTGCCTCTGCCCCTGCATGGGATTATTAATTTTGGACTGCCCCCTATAGTTAGTATTCCCTTATTTCATCATTTCACTTTTAATATTTTAGTTTACCACAGTATTGCTGTAATTACTACCATTTACGTTTTCAGCCCTTTTGATTCCTAATGTACTTTACCTTGTGTATTTGAACATACTGGTTATTATTATTTTATTCCATTTACATGGATGTAGACTTCTTAAGTGTTATTTATCTTTTAGTTACTCTGGTATACCCTTTTAGTCTGCCTTTTATCACATAATCTCAGGGTTTACTTTACCTCATTCCTCTATAACATTTAGCTAACTACCACTCTGCTGTTCCCAGTGATGCAGTGTTCCCCCAGATAGCTCCAGACTTATGAGAGTGGATTTGTACGAAAAGCAAAGAAAGATAACTTCAAAGACAATAAGGCGGCTTTCCTTGCAGACATGTAATGCAACCATAAGTGTAAAGCAACATCAGGTGTTTGCCCAAATGATGCTGCCACGTCAGTGGTGACTTTTTTTTTAAAGGAAGGCCTGGACTGCCACTGCTCACCCCTCTGTCTTGGGCTAAGAGGGCCGCGGTCAGAGGCCATCAGGTTAGAAGTTTCCCTGTGGGCCTACCTTCTTTCTTTCAGCTGTGTGGCTGCCGCCTTCCCTCGGTGCATGGGGAAAACAAAACAGGACAGGATCTGTTTCAGCTTTTCTCAAATGTGCAGGACCTGTGCTTTCAGGATGAAGCAAGAAACAATTTCATCACCAATCAAAAGGATAAGTTAGTTGTCCATGACATTCCAGGGGCAAAAACCGAGTTAATATGATGATAATGACAACAATAATAATAACCGGCACCATCCATGTCACTTTGCTGGCAGCATTGTGGTTAAAATCCCAAGGCTCGGCCATGAGGTCATTTGGGTTTAAATCCCAGCTCCACCATTCGCTGGCCACGAGACCTTAGCCAAGTTACCAACATTTTGAGCCTCGGTTTTCTCATCTGTAAAATGGAAATGATGCTATCCTCAAACATATCCTGTTACGATTATATCAAAAAACATTTGTGAGAGTAAACAGCACATGGAAAGTTTACAATAAAGAGTATCAGTTATTGTTATCAAAGTGGATTTAAAATATTTAATATCTGAGATGGTATAGGCAGCAACCAATCAGACTAGAGGCTGGCCACAAGCCACGGGTTCGTACCACCAGTGCACAGCAGCTACCAGCCCTAGTCCTTAGCGTTATGTCCCCCTGCCAGGTACTAAAGTAAGCACCTGGTATGCACTAATGCATTATCTCACTTAATCTCCACAGCAAGTTGGCTTTATTGTGTTATTTATTGAAATATATTCAGTTACATATTATAAACATAACTATGCCTATAAAATCAGGGTAATCAATAAACAGACTTAACATATTCAGTCTTGTCCTGATGACTCTTGTATGTGAATTTCAGGGGTTGCTTTGGTTGGGAGTTTTGTGGCTTCATGGTAGAGTTTCTTTCACTTGCTAATTCTTTCAATAATCTTTAGAAGACAATGACAATGGCCAGTTGCTTTAGTTTCTTCAATCATTAATTGGGTGTGCATACTGTTCTTTCTTTCTGAGTTTCTACTGCTCTACGGCAGCCAAATCTGGGGGTACCAAAGACTTCTCAAGCCAAGACCAAGTCACTAGCGAATGGGCATAAGACAGTTCTGCTGCTCCCCAGCCAGAACTTCAGTAGAGACAAGCCCTCACATCTCCACATGCCTTGCTTGAGCAGATTTCAAATTCAACCTCAAATGCTATTGGCTCAAAGCAGTTTGCCCAACGCCCCTTACAAATATTCTTTCTGCTCTTCTGTTCTCTCCTCCCTCAAGGCTTGTGCTGCATTGCTGGCTGGCCTACTGGTTTATTTGACTTTCTGTCACCCACGTGATGATGTTTCCAGTGTTATTAATAAGTGACTGCTTATTAATTACTATTATTAGATATGCACCATGCAGTGCAGACAGCACCACAGAGGGGCTTGGCATCTTCAGGGAGATGACTTGTATAGAAAGAGTTGTCCCCGTAGCCCAATAAGAGGACACAGGGCCAGCAGTGAGTTCTAGGTGACCAACAGCAGCACTCGCAAATTCTGAGAGCCAGGCACCTGATCAGAACTGTGTTCTGGCACAAGATGAAGGAGAACAAATGAATGTAAGATTCTCAGGCGTGGGAGAGCATAAGCCCACAGGGGAGCCTGAGCACTCATGCCCTGAGGAGGTTAGCTCCCAGGGAATGTTTCTAGCTCCTGGCATCCCTTCCACCAGGGTATCAGTCACACCCATGAGTCTGCGGGGAAGGCTAGGTCCTGGGGAGGCCAAAAGTCTCCAACTTTCAACTGCAACGGGGAGCTCTCTATCCTCATTTTTCTTTCCTAATTATTTCATTGAAATAAAATATTCTCAGGGAATTGCAGACAGTAGGAGCCTCCCAGCTACTTCCCTGAATTCAGCAGCCTTTTG